CCAGTTTCCAAGAGTGATAAGTGATTTAGCCACGTTAGTCAGTAGCCCTGCTGGGCCCAGATAGTCAGTGTTATCTGTACTGTGCATCACAACTCTATGATGTTTATTAATGAGAGAGATTAATAATAATTATAACACATTTTTAACAGACTGGCTTTCCAAAAGACAGACAAGTTAGTAATTCTCGATAGTTAAAGATTTATAGAAAGGTATCCCAAATTAAGTTTCATTCTATTTTCTGTATAAGAGAATGAAGAAATACTGGCACCCTAAGATTAAACAGTATCTTTCTGAAACATAATTACAGATTGAAAGGCAGACCTAGACCCACTCCCAGACAAGTTACAAGGAATATCACAGTACTACATAGGCAGCATATAAGTGTTTCTGTCGAAAATCAGGGAGATTTTCCTAGAAATTTAGCAGGGTAAAACAAATGTTATAATGGAGAAAACTGAATCCAGTTGCAAGGCATATAGACCTTTCAAAACATTTGGGCAGTTGGTGTAGATAGGTCGGGTATGACTATATCAGGAGGTAGAAGGGTCAGTCAAGAGAAACGTAAATTTAAAAATTTAGTAATAAAAATAAAATGATCCTGAATGAGGGTTCTAGAGAGAAAGGGGGGCTGCCATCATCAGAGTCATCATCACAGCTAACACTATGTACCAGGCGCAGTCATCTTTTATATATGTTTACTCATTTAATCCTCACTATGAGATAGATAACATTATTATCACTGTTCCCATTTTACAGACGAGGAAATTGAGGCATTGAGTAGTTGGATAACTGTCCTTCAATTAGACAGCCATTTAGTGTTGGGGCCCGGATTTAAACTTGGTACCCTAGACCCAAAGTAGGTACCTTAAAACTGTCTTACACAATTAACGACTATTACTAGTACTACCATTTGCGGGTTGTTTAAAAACTTCACAGACATGATCTCATTTAACTCTTACAAAAGATTCTACAAGATTGGTATTCATCTTTATTTCATGGATGAGGAAACTAAAATGCTGAAAAGTTAAATTACATGCTTAGGCAGAATCCGGATATTTTAGAACCTGTATCTGTCAGAATCCAAAACCCACTCATGCTCCCTCCGTTATATCACATCTCCTGCCATGGGTGCTATATTGCCAAAGAAGAAGAATAGGAAATTAGTGATCTGAAAGCAGAATTTCTATAGATTTTGCCCAAAAGAACACCAACTGTGTTGGAATAGGAAGTAGCTGTTTAGGTAGCTGTTCTGACCAGAAGAAAAAGACAAACAAATCTTAATATTCCAGAAGGTAACTCAGCCTTGCTCCGGCTGAAGAATATAGATAAGTTGAGAGTAGAGGGAGGGTTTGAAAATCTAAAAAGAGGAGTAGCAAGAAAGTAATTTTAAAAAATCAATTCAAATGAGCACCAGGGAAGGCTTTTCACTGCTTTACCTTTCAAATCAGAAGATGGCATTCGAAGGCCAAACCCAGAGGAAAAAAGCTACTCGTCAATGAAAAATTAAGACCTGATGACGGAGAATCCAGCTGGAGGTGTTTCTTCCATCATTTTGGGCACAGTCATTCCTGTTCTTAGTTTGAATGTGTTGCTTGAGTCTACTTCCACACAGACACCGACCACATACAGGTTTATGCTCCCTGATTTTCTTACCTGGTTAAGTTTTATAAGCCTGATAAGAAAACCAATCTTATTACTCTATACCATGAAAATATGATTTCGAAATATGCCTCCTGCAAATTTCCCCTTGCCCAGAGAGAGATTCAATCTCATTTTTCAACGCAGCACCTCTTTGAGAAAAAGAAAAGCCAATCATAAAATAATGATTCCTCAAAGACCTCTCTACTTTTGCAGAGGCCTTAGCCTAGGAAATTATAAGTGCAAAATTGAAACTTTTTTTTAACAATAATTGTTCAGATCTCAAGAAAAATTATTTCAATCATTCCAGACTTACTCAGGAGAAAATGTTCATACGTTTATCCATGATCGACATGTCCTTGGATTGTCACATAAGTGAAAACCACAACTGTGACACCTTTATAAAAGGCACGATTGTATACCTGTGTCCATGCTCACTAGTGATCTAATAAAATTTAATTTGAAATAAATAAACTGTGAATAAGCACTGATTAATAATTGCTAGTATGTCTACCATGAACATTCTTTAAAGTTTTTTAATTCCTTCCTTTTTACCAAATGGGTGTTCTCTGAAAAATCAGGGCACTTCCAGACAATGGGTGGCAGAATGAAACTGACTAACGAAAGCTATTTACCAAAAGATCTTGCTTGAAAATAAAACTAATGGAAATAACACTAGTTGGGTTCAAGTTTTGGTAAATGACAAGGGAATATACTAAGGAGATAAGGTTCCTCTGGTTTTGCCCTGATATTAAAATAAAGAGAAAAAAAAAAAGGATGGAATGTGAAAGGTGGAATAGATGAATATACAGAGAAATATAAATTAAAAACAAACATAACATCCAAGAAAGGAAATAATAACATCCTTTGACAAATGATGGGAAAGATGTGGCAATTAAAATAACCACAATCCAGGCAAAGTTCACTTTGTTTTTAATCTTCTTTCACTCTAAACTGACTTCTAATTCAAGGACAGTATAGAATGATGACCTAGATTGAAGTGCTAATATGTGGTTATTAGCAACAGTAAATTGCTCAATCTCTTTGAACTTATCATATGTGTGAATTTAGAATATTACCCTCCCTATAAACCTTAGAGTATAGCTTATAAATCAAAAGAGATAAAATATAGGAAAATGCTTTATAAACTTTAAATACCAAAATGTACTTTTATTTTTTAGTTTAAAAAAAAAATGATATTAGAAACCAAAGATAATTTTCAGAAATCAGAATCAAGTCCTGACATTTATGCATAATTTTAACATCATAACCTGGAGTATTAGTGATTAAAAGCTTGGGCTTCGGATCAGAAAAAACCTGGGTTCAAATCTGGTTGCATTTCTTAGTAGCAGCTATATCATGGACAAGTTAGATAATCTCTTTAAGGTGGCTTCCCCATACACAAAGTAGGAACAATACCTACCTCATCAGACTGCAGCGGCACTTAGTAAAATAATGTAGATGAAGTACTTTGCACAATGTCTGGCATATAGTAAACCCTCCATAAGTGACAGGATTTAGGATGACAATACCAAGGTGCTATTGTGGAGGGATCTGGAATTAGAGAGAGCTGAGTCCAAGCCTCAGTTTTACTCACCCAATAATGTGCGGCCTTAGACAAGTCATTTAGTTTTACTGAGACTGATTTCTCCTCTATAAAATGGGAGCGATATCACTTCAGGGGGTTGTGAGAATTAATTAAATAACATATTACAGGTGAAAGTACTTAGCATGATACCTGGCTATCTTATATCTTAATGTTAATTATCATTTTCACTCCTTTAGTAGCTTAAATAGCTCTCTTACATAAATATATAAAGATTTATAATTAACTAGGGGTGGGGGATTAAAGCTAAAATCAAAAGTTACTTAGGAAAATAAAATTCCCAGGTCAGAAACTTTTAGGAGAAATGACAGTGAATGAGAGAACTATGTCAGCACTAAGGGACTATATACATAATAACAAACAAAAAATACTGAAAGCATGGTTTTAAGAATCTCAGGATTTTCAATAGAAAACCACAATACAAAGCAATAGAAGTGAGAAAAGAATTTTGATTTCCAATCTCCCTAAAAAGGACTTTTTTTATATTTTAACTGATCTGTTCAACATCTCAGAAAACAAGCATTTCTCTTTAAAACATACCATCGTTAAAGTTATATGCTATTTAAAATATTCAACTTTCAAATATAAATTAGAGGTGTTTTTTTCTTATTTTCATTATATTTTTAAAAATATTTATTTGTAAAACTAACATCTTTGTGTTTAAAACCTTAAATGTTTTTCCATCTTATTATTTCAGGTTTGCTTTGGAGCATTCAGACAGTTTTAAGAATAACCACCAGGTGGCTCATACCACAAATGATCTTTCAATTTTTGGTTTTCTGAAGAACAGCATCCTCCTAAATTTCCCTTTAGCATGATCCGCTGATAAAGATAGCCGTATCTGTTACTTTTTAAAGATCAAATTTATAAGTGCATTCTCATAAAAAATATTCTGCATTTTGTAACCTGTAAACAGAAGTTTTTATTGTGAAAAGTATTAATAAGATACTTTTCCAATTAATAAAACACATTTCTTGATTAGTTCTTTCTACAACTGCATTTTGTTGGGGGGAAAAAAATATTTGTCTTTCCTTTTCTGTTATAGCTAGCGCTAGTGTTCTTTTTACTGTATAGTCTGAATTTCAGCCAAAGGCCTGCAAAGTCTATATCTATTTGAACAATATGCTAATTATACCTTATTAGATGTGCTTGCCCTAGAGTAACCTCCTTGCATTGATATTGGACAACTGCCAAACTACAGCTTAATGCCATGGTTGTAATTCAACTGTTGGACTGCATGCTGGTTTTCAAATACAGTTTTACAAAATGGGAACAGTAGGGGGCATGCAGAGCTCAAGATGTTTGTTATCATACCGATTAGGGGATCTTAGTTCACTTTCTGGAATTTGTGGTCGTATATATTTAGAATACTAACAATGGCATTCTTTTTTTAATATCTTTTATGTGTAATATGCAAATTATATACTTGCAAATATTTTGACTTTATATATATAAGAAATTTTTAATGTAATATGTAACTAGCAACTATATATACTGTATTTCATTTTGATTCACAAAATTTTATTTACTGTGAAAGTGCTAGGTAAATGGTAAAGCATTAGACAAAGGATAACTATCATCATTCTTTTAGTATTTAAAATTTTATTAAAGAAATCTCTAATTAGCATTACAAATGTGAATTCTGTTCTATCTTTAAACATTCAGCAACTATAAAATATAACTACCGTTATATGGGATTTTCTTCTTAACAACTATCTTTACAAATGCTTACTACCTTCACACTATATAAAAACGCCAAAAAATTTTTCAAATTTTCCTTTGGGAAATTCAGCAGTGGAAAGGTTTCTGGCAGAGTAAAGACAGACGTGGTCAAATTTTCAATGTGGCTCTGCCTTCGCAAAACTCTAGAAAAATTATAGCATAAGCAAACATTTGACAAGTGCACCTGTTCATTGACTCGGGAATGTGATGGTCCATGATGAATAAGAATCTTCACAATTTCCACATCTCCTTTCCAGGCAGCCAGGTGAATAGGAAAATAACCTTTGTTGTCTGCTACATTTGTTGATGCCTCATACTGAAGAAGTTTGAGAACTATGTCCCTAAGAAGGAAAAAAAAAAAAGTAAAAGAATAAGACATATAACAGAAAAGAAAATACGCTGAACAATACAGATTTTATTAAACAGATAATTCTAAAGGAATACTAGATATTGGCTGGCAATTTAGAGTAATCATTCAAGGTACTAAGACATAAAATTGGGTTTAAAAGCCTGCTTATTCAATATTTGCCTATTTTACTCACCTGGAAAACCACCACCACCACACATACCTACAGAGAGCACTGACTAACCAATGAAACTACTTAAGAGAATTCATGTGGGCAAAATTGTCTAATTTCATTAACTGAATTAAGTAAAGCAAACGTACCTCTTCCCATTTTTTTTAAAGAAGCTATTTTCAGATAGCTCATGCCTGAGATTCAGCCTGAAGGAAAAGTCGAGGTACAAACTTCTTGTTTATTTAAAAAAAAAAAAGTTATACTACAAAGAGACATTTAGGGAGTTTATACATCATTCCTATTGAGAATTGGAATAAGAAATTGAAGATGCATATAAAAGAGAACGCAGACAGCACAATAGGAAAGAGACCCTTACAAGCTTCCTGCAGTACAAGCTCAAGGTTAAAAAAAAAGTTTAAAAACTTTTCAGCACAACACACTTTGAATCTGTAATGTTCTTACTTCTGCACTCCTTCACCTTTCTCCTCCCAAGCCTAAAAAATTATTTCAAAAGAGAAATTCATTTATGAGACAAATTCGACTACCCATGCAATTTTAGTGCATACTCAGTGTATCCTACCTACAGGATTTTGTAGTCAATCCCCAACAGGTTTTCAAAGTAAAAATTCTGAACCACAATACTCAACCTCGGGAGAAATTAATTAAAAATTATTAGTAGACATTATATTGATATTTGTAACAATCAAAAACTGTCATTCTAAACAAAAAAAAATTTTCATTTGGATGCATTTAAAAAGCAAATTCTATTAATTCATTAAATGAAATCTTAGATATGCAAATACACACATACATACATATAATTTTAATATATTCTAAAGTTGTTTCTTATATGTAACAAATCAACAATGAATGAATGAATGTAACACAAAGAGCTGTTTAAATATTCAGAAGTTAATGGAAGTAGCGAATGAGAAAAGGTAGAGGAAGTTTTAATAGACGTTAAATTAGAACTCTGCTAGCCCATTGTGTGAGTTTAGAACCAGTCACCCAAACATGTGGTTTTGTGGTTTGTGAATTACTTTGAGCAAAAGGCAGTCAAGATCCTGTGGGCTCAAGAGAAACTTATGCCCTCTGCCCCATCACTTAACTACCTAGAAGAATTTAAATCATGGGCCTTGCCCATATTAAGAGTTATTATTAGATATAACTTTTTTGGCCTATCTACATAGCAGGACAAATATCTAATTACTGAACATCTGCTCTTCTTATCCATCTGTATGTTCCCCCTCCCTTCTGAAGCTTCAGGTGCCAAACTTCATCCTTAGCTCAGGATGTCATACATACCTCATTTTACCTGTCTGTCTCTGAACCTCTCATGTATGTGGGGTCTCTGACTCTCATGTATGTGAGATTCCCATACATAGGCATATAATTAAATTTGGTTATCTTTTCTTATTATTACCTGTCTCATATTGATTTGAAAGAACCCAGAAGCATAGAAAAGCATTTCTCCCTCCCAGACACCACCAAAAAATAAATACAATCGAATATGAAATTAGAGTAAATCATAAAATACATTGCCCAGAATGTGGCCTAAACTTGTGAAAGGGAGCAGAATGTGCCACCCCAAAACATGCCTTCTTGGCAAAAGGATTATTTTAGGCTCGACTATTTTTTATGATATAGGGGGAAAAAAATTTCTGAAAACTGAGAAGTTACACTTTTTAAATAAGAGACATTTATATTTAAAAGATAAATCTCTTTTTATAAAGGTTATCTCCCTCTGTGTATCAGGAGAAAGATGTCCTTAATCTCTAGAAATTCTTATCCATGGAGAAGGCAGAAACTTAAATCTGCATAACAACCCCATACCTTGTTTCCTGTGCTTTTTCTGATAACCACCCATAACTGACTTCCCCCACCCCAACTTCCCTACCCCAACACCTTCTTTTGTCTTTAGCTGGAAATAGTATTTAAGGTGATGGTTTGGGCCTTTGGGGGGAGTTACTCAGTTTTCCCAGGTCTCTACCATCTATACAGGAGGTATACATGTTATTAAGCTTCTGTTTTGTTTTGTTTTGTTTTGTTTTTTCTTCTGTTAATGTGTCTTTTTATTAAAGAGAAGAGAGAGGGGAGCCTTAGCCAAGAACCTGGAAGGGTAGAGGGAAAATTATTTTTCCTTCCCCACCCTTGGAAAACTTGATTTAATTGATAAGTGTATGAAACCATGATGACATAATCACAACTATGTTATAAAAATATTTAGAAAGTTTCAAGGAGTCCTAAATTTTCTATCAATAAGATTTCAGAGATTATAAGAATAAATCTCATTTTAACATCCTTTTTAAAAACCACTATGATTTTATAAGATCTGTATTTAGAAAATTTGGAATTTGAGTCCCAGCTATACAAACTACCTAATGATGTGACCCTAAAAAAATTATTTAGTCATATTGTTCTTTTTCTTTTCTGTATAGTAGTAATAATAATAATAATATCTACTGGTCAAGACTAGTAAGATTTTTAAATGAGATCACAGAAGAGAAGCCACTTGAAAGACAGTAAAGCACTATAAAAATATTAGTTCGTGCCCCAAGTAAAACTGAAATACTTTAATAAGTAAGAATGCTTCCAGCAAATCACCCTTTGCAAAAAAGAACGTAAAAATCAGAAGGACACTTGAAGGTTGTTCAGTTTATATACCTCTCTTCATCTCTCAGCTATGTAAGAGTTATTATATAAGGTCTCCAATTCTGGAATAAATAACTATGATGAGTTAAAAAGGATTTAATACCTGTGAATAGTGAAAGAAGCTAAAAATTAAAAGACATGATCTGAAGTTCCAACTCTCTACCACTTACTAAACTTGCTTACCTTGGGCAAATCAAATAACTTTTGTCTGTCTTCCAAATATTGTTAAAATAAAATTTAGATCTCACATCTTGCTGCCAGTCTTAGAGGGTTGTGGTTTGAATCAAATGAGAAACATATATGACTATAAAATTGTATAAAATCAAGCACTATTCTCAAGGCAGGCTGCTGCAATGTTGAGTAATCTCAGTGACATTTTTTAACTGAAATATTTCAGCATTTAAATAAAAGATAAAATAATACCAAAGGAAGCACAGTTAAATAGCTGAATCTGGAATGTAGAATTTATCCTTTGACAAAATAGCCTTTTTAAAATTTATATACCAGGGAAAGATAATCATACGAAAGGTTTTAATTTTATTTCTCAATGCCTAAGCAAATAAAAATATATTCTGAAACTTCTAAAACCATTTCCTTTCAAAGGGGAAAGGGGAAAGTGTAACGAGATTATCAATCTTATTTGTCTTCACTCTCACTCAAACATTCAGGATTTCATTTGTTCTTTGGCTAAATTATTGGCATTTTCTAATAATGTACATAATATGAATTCGTTATTTATCAAGATTTATGATATAGCGAAAAAACTGACTACCCAAAAGATAGCTACTACCAGAGATACATTTTTGCCCAAGAAACTTTATCTGTGTAACAGGGCAACCTTTGTTTTCCAAACATCACTCACTTTCCTGTGAATGGCCTTCCTTCCTTTTGTGTCCCCAAATCCCTAATCCCTTACTCAGCTCAAGATGCTATATAAGCCCCGATTTCCTGGCTGCTTTTCAGATTTTATATTTTTGTTGGGCTCCTGTACATATGTAATTAAATTTGTTTTTGTCCCTGTTTAACTGTTTTGTATTCATTTAATTATTAGAGCAGCCAAATAAGCTAGAAGGGAAAAAGAAAAAACTTGCCCACCCTGTGCCCACCATTTAATATCTAAATCAGAAAAGAATAATATATATGTTTGTGAAATGGCCTTTGGTGAATGCTAAGATCCTAATGTAATACTATTATTTTCATTTGTTTTTAAAAAATTAATTCGCTTTATTATTTCAAATTTATTTTTAAATTTTTATTCAAGTTGAGCTTGTCATCTTATTCAGAGATATCAGCTAATGAACTGGCTTGGTTTGGATTTCTAATGTGAAAACATATTTGTGAATGATAAAGTTATATCTCTAATCAAATAAGTACCTGTTAGTCTTACTGAATCATAAATAAAATATTAATCAACAAATTGTCATTTATCTCTCTTCTGATGTATCCATGTACATTATAAGTAATATGTGTTAAATTGGACTTTTTCATCCAGAGTCATTAAGAACAAATTAAATTTCAAGTACTTTCTATAATATCTAAACTAGAGGAATAGTTAACACTAGGATCATACCAAATCAGTATTATTATTTTCTATTTTCATTTAAGTTGAACCTCATATCTTCTAGAGGTATCAACAAATAAACATGTTGACTGTGCTTAGTTACCTGGCATGAACTATTAAGCTACAGTGACAATGTCTATAGAATAGCAAGCAGAGAAGTAATCCCTATTTATCTTAAATGTAAAATGGCATTCTTTCTTATATGCAGGATTTGATAAGTGAGAAATAATTTAAAATCCTAAAATAAATGTGGTTAATGGGATCATAGGAAAAATAAATCCATTTCCCAGGAGCTAAACACATATCAAATAAATTTAATAACAATCCAGTTTAAATCATTGCAACCTTGTGCAGCTTGAGGCTAATGTATGAAAGTTTGGGTAAAATGGAAATTCTAAAAGTATTGATTTTTGCTACTATATTTAATTTGTTTCATTTTCTAATCGATATATACTTCTAATTAATATGAAATGTTTTTTTAAAGAAGTTTCGGTATACATTCTGAGCAAAATGAAATTGGGAAAGTTCAATGTTTAAACTTTTTTATACAGTTTCCCTATAATTAAATCATAACCAAAGACATTTATTTCGTTCCATCCACTCTTGCTTGTTGGTAGTCCAAAGAACTTTTAAATAAATGCAAATCATCTTCATATGGATGTAACATCAACAAACTAATGAAATTCTCAAATTCTTGAAGCCTTTTTTGATTTCATATTTTTGTGAAGATTTTACTTCTCTTTAATGTGAATAAAGTGGCCAACATGTTTTACAGGTCAAAAGACATTAAGACAATACACTCTGCTTTCTAACTGGAGCTCCTTTAAATGTTAAATTCATTCTTGTAGATTTCTAGAGGGAAAAAAGCCAAATTTTAGCTTGTTAATATCCTTATCCAGGAAAGAAGCAATCAAGCCAAAGATCTTTCTAGGTTATTCGAACAGCAACTTCAGACTATACAAATTCTGGGGAGAAGTACCCTTCTTTCATTAGCAAGCCTAAGAAAAAGCAAATTAAAAGTATAGATAGCTTACTATCTGGACTCTAGATCCAATTTGAGATATAATCTGAATGACAGTCTAGATTCAAGCATCAAATATTAAAAGAATGAGAAGAATAGAAAATATTTTAATCCCATACATATCAAAGAACATATATATTTCAAAGATATGATAACAATTTAGCACCGACATTTTTCAAAACAGCATCCAGAATCACAGTATACCAATATAGTTTAAATAAAAAACTCAAGAAGAAAAAAAGGAGCAATTTGATAAAAAGAGGCGGTTTGAAATGAAATATGAAAACATGGGTTTAGAAAAACCTTATAGGAAACAATAATATTATTATTTAAAAAGAGAAAAGGAAAGAAAAGCAAAGGAAAATAAAAGAAAGAGAAAGGGAAAGAAGGAAGGAAAGGAGAGAGAGAAGAAGAGAGAAGAGGCAGAAAGAAAGACAAGCAAGCCAGGTGGCCAGTAAAGGGGTTCAGAACAGGCCTCCCCAAGGTGTGCTCCTTTGGCATGTGGATTATTTTGAGCTGAAGACAAAAGAGACCCTGGGGGCTCAAGAGAAACTTTTGCCTTTCCCTTAAAGAATTCAAATTAGGGAACTTCTCCATAATAGGAATTATTACCGGAAGTAACTTTTTATGACCTATCCAAAGGGCAGGGCAAACTTCTAACTACTGAACATAGGCTCTTATCCTGTGAATGACCTTCCTCCCTCTGAAGCCTTAGGCACATTACCTCATCCTTAGCTCAGAATGCAATATATACCACATTTTAACTTTCTGTCTTTGAACCTCTCATGTATGTGAGGTCTCTGATTATTTCCTGTTTGTGTGGTTCCCATATGATGTATGTAATTAAATTTGTTTATTTTCTCTTACTAATAATCTGTCTCATGTCGATTTGATTTTTAGACAAGCCAGAAGAACCTAGAAGGGTAGAATAAAATTTCTTCCTCCCCCACACCAGCTAATTGCTATTCAGAAGAGAATTAAGAGAATCGAATTTGTAGTAGAAATCCAAGAGAGGCAATGAATTCTCCATATTTTAAAAAAGAAAAATAGAGTAATATATAGGTCTCAATCTTATCTATTGAAATAATTTATTTGTAATTGTTGCTAGTGGGTTGTGTTCTACTGACTGATTTTTCTATCATCTAAAGGTAATAATTTTCTAATCTGTAATTACAAATGACCCAGGAAATCACCAATAGAGTACATTTTCTATTGTGTCCTGATGTGGCTAAGTGAAGATGAATAGTTTGTTATAAAATACTGTTTTTTAAGTACAAAATGCTGTTCCATTTGTGAATTAACTAGTGTTGATAAAAATGTGTTCCAAATAAAACATACAAAATAAGGGGAAACGAGTTTAATATGCAGTATGAAGGCTTTAGATTCCATGTTGGAGGTAGGGAAAAAGCCTGTGTTCAAAGCAAAAGAATAAACTACAGGACTCCATAACATTACTTCTAGTTCTATGATTCCAATGACTTTAGCCTATAAATCATAATGTTTATGGAAACAATCTAGAGCTGATGGCTACAACAACAATAGCAACAAACATGGAAACAATGTGCTTCTATGTTGACTGCTAAGGCTTACTTGGAAAGAATACAACATGATCAATTGTTCATTACCTATGCTAAGTGAGAAGAGCAAAGGCAAAGAAAAGAATAATCATTCTTCTTGGGCTCTGAGATATATTCTATGACATTTTTTTTCTCCTTCAAATAGCTTTCCTTAAGCCAATAGTAAAATTAGTATTCCATGTGAACACACTACTTGATGATAATGGGAGGCAGCCCAGAAATACATAATGTGGCAGAGAAAAGCCAGGAAGACTTTAGGAAATTGATGTGCATATAACCACTAAGGGGAGTGAAAGTAGAGTATAGGTAAAGCATACACATGGAACTAAAACACTTAGGCTCTAGACATGGCATCACCTTAATAACTGTCCACTAAGTCACTTATCCAGAATGGCCTTGTTTCTCCATCTATAAAATGAAGGAAGTGAAGAGGGCAGGGTAGAATAAATGACCTCTAATTTTAAAAGTCCATGAGTAATTTAAATAATTTAAAGTAAAGAAATTTTATACTCTAGATGAAAATCCAAATTTCAGAGTTGTAGCATCATAGTACATAACAGAGCCACAAATAATACCAAAACAGTATATTATAAAATATTAAAATTGGAAGAAATAAGGAAAAATATCCAGCCTATGTATTCAGTACATTGGACTGAGGCCTAGAGAGGTTAATTAAATGGCTCGAGGTCACATAACTAGCAGAGATGGGGAGATAGGATTAAAATTTTTCTTTTTCCAATGCCTATAGAATGACACTGAGTAAAATCTTTCTAAAAAGCATTAAAAAGATAAGAGATCTTCAGATAAGCAAAGCAGAGATATATAAATCTCAGAGAATATCTGCAATTAAAGAGATCTTAAAAGATATCTAGTAAAATCCCCATCTTTTTATGATGATCTTAATGACTGCTATTCAATTCACTTAAATCATCTTCACTTGTATATTGCCAATAGAAACTAAAAATTATGAAGTGGGCCACAGGGAAATATCTCAATGATTAGAACTTCATAGGCCATTATGTATAAATCAATGACACTGACTAAATATTGAAAATCAAGGAGGAATATGAAGCCTAATTCATTTTGGGGCAACCTTATTTTGAGACGTGCTTATCATGCCAAGCTGAGATAGAAGAAGAAAGGTAGCAGAGGTCAAAAGGTCAGGTCCAAGATCGTCTGTCCATTATTTGATTGCTTGTTTTCCCCACTGGAATGTCTCCTGAATCCAAATTTAAGATGGCCAAAGAAGCCATAAGTATTGTATACCCTGGGCTGATTTAATTTGGCTTCATTCTTGATGACGCAGGTATAAAGCAGGGGGAAAAAAAAGTAATTCGTTTAAAACATTAGGATGATAAGGATCTGGACACATTTTGCACTCTACAGAAGTATAGCAATATAGTTGAAAAAGACCTGGCAAAATAAAAGGGTTCTAAGTTAGATGACATAATATAGAATAGGGACTGGAATAAAAGAAATATAATTTGGGAATTCTGATACTAAGAATTCGAGTGATGAAAGATTAAGTTTTTGATATTTTATACAACTCAGATGATTCTCTAGAGAGAATGATGTTATATTTATGTGATAAGTTTTAAGAAAAAAGGAAGTCATAGTGATAAATAATGACAAAATGATAAGTTTCTTGTGTGAGAACTTTAAGACAATAAAAAATGATCAAGTATGACCAAGTCCCTTGTGTCTCAATTCACAAAATAAAGGAAATGTTAGGTGGGAAAGGAAAAGGTAACCAGCATTTTTTAGGCAGTAATTACCACATCTGAAAAACTCAAGTGCAGTGAAATGATCCAGATTTGGGAAGACCAGCTTGAACCATTAGAGCAAAGGAAAAAGAGATAGGAGGGAGAGACACATGAAAAGGGTCACTTTTCATCTGATGGGGAAGGACAGAACATCTGAATCATTCAGAGGCCACCTCATACTTTGACTCTGCAACTAAATCTTTAGGTTGCCTAGCTAAAACACTGGAAATGAAGAGGTTGTTAGG